CGGCTAGATCCAGAGGGTGATGAGGGTCTATGCTTCTAAGCTTCTAAAGAGAGTCTTATTGGAATACAGCCCTGCCCTTTTGTTTACTTGTTGTCATGGTTACATCCTCACTACAAGAGTGAGTAGAGCAGTTGTGACAGACTGAGCTTATGGTTTACTATCTGGCCCTTTAAGAAAAAGCCATTATGCTTGGAGGGTGGTGGGGGATGGGGTGAAATAAGATTAAGGAGCCTGCCATGGCTCCTCTTGGTGGAAACCCTCTTCCTGGACTGTTGGAACACTAAATAAATGCAATGACATGCCAACTAATGACAAAATTATTGCAAGTGTATAAGAAAAATGTTAGCAATTTCTAAAAACAGAGTCACCCAAAGTTGCTTCCAGGAATGTTAGGGCGATTTGGAAAGGAAGCAATGCCACAAGACTGTCACAACCAGAAACTGTCTCTTCAAATCATTGTCATTTCACACCCTTTGAAAGAGTTTTACTCAGTATCCTCTTCAATTTCGCCTCAGGGAAGAACATGTCCTTATGCTACCTTTACCAAGAGCACCTGTTGGATATAATGGCAGTGATCCTAGACTTGCAGTTAAAAGAGAAAAAGATGGAAAACATGTGATCATCCAGCTGTAATAATGTAGATAAGCATAGCATAGACAGCCTGACATGCTATGGCATCACCTTGACCAGACAGGGTCTTGATGTACACCCTCGTCTGGCCATAAGCTCACTGCTTCCTGGCTGCTTTGAACCATTGTCAAACTATCAGTAATAATAGGATTCTACTAAGCAAGAGACACGTGATTATTCAATCATCTCGCATGCCATTATTGATTGCATATATAGGAGTTATATAGGCTTTTTATGCCATATGCATAATTTTATACATAAGGTATATGTTTCTATGGGCCCTTAAGAAAAAGAGCCATCCTGCTAGATATCATGTAGAAAAATTTTATTTTATTTGATACACTACACTGTATCAATGTATAATTTATATCAGTGGATACAACCTACAAATGTAAATATATATTGGAATTCTTAAATGAAGTACAAATCCATTGAAATGTTAGTGCGCACGAACAGTTCTAAGATGACATTGATCATGTAATATATAGTTAGGTATTCAACGACCAGTCAGTGCACAAAGTGGAGCAGGAAACACCTTTCATTCATTGCTAGACGTAGACACTTCCACTTAAGCAGGCTGAACTGAGAAACTTACTGGCACTCTTACGGAAATCTTCAAAGGGGTTAAAAAAAGAAATATGCAAAATTAATGTTTTCAGTGTCACAGTGCTCTGAAGGGCCTGGACTATAACACCAAACTGTGTTGGGAGAAATATAAGGTTTGGGTAAATGGGAAGGAACCTTGTATTTCTGACTTGGAAGAATCCATATGTTTTAAACATATGAATCCACTTCAAATTAACATGTAAGTGTGTTGCAGTCTCAAATGAATTTTGACAACAGTAGGTGAATACACAAAAATTTTTTCCTAAGTTTTATCTTCAATATACCTCTGTAAGTAGCCAGGAAACAACTGACAAAGCAGACCGACATAAAGAAGTTCTTGAAGGTAAATGTCAAATCAGATTGTAGAATACATCACAAAACTTTGGACAAAGCAAAATTACATGTGCCTCTTAATCTAAGCCCTTTAATGTTTTCAGAGGCACTCAGACTTTAAATGTGAAAATGAGGGTGTGTATGTGATGATGCAGGTGAAAAAGGTCTATATTATTGAGCTGTTTTTTTGAGACAAGGTTTCTCTGTGTAACAGTCCTGGTTGTTCTCAAACTCACTCTGTTAACCAGGCTGGCCTCAAACTCACTGAGATCTCCCTGCCTCTGCCTCCTGAGTGATGGGATTAAAGGCATTTGCAACCACTGCCAGGCATGTTGGGAAATATTTTCAATGAAAACAAGTTTAGAAATTATGAAGAAAAAGATGAACAGATGACAGAGAAATTTGAAAGTGCTGTGTGTAAAATCAGGATGCACAAGGCAATGTACAGGTAAACTGCCTGCCACATTAGTGACATTTTTTTTTTCTTGTATAGGTAGAGCACACACAAGGAAGGAGGAAAAAAAGAGAAAAGGCTGCCAGTTGGTAATGGATAATCACAAGGGAAGGTGTAATGTTGGTATAGGCCAAAGGTACAATTTGCCTATAATAGAGAAGAAAGTGACAATTGCATAGTCCTGGAATAGAACGTTCTAAGAACTGATGAGAGATGCTCAGTGGCATTTCTCCCCGCCCCCAACATTTTCCCTGTCTGATGAAGTATCAGAGTAGTGATGACAGCAGGCACTCCTGAGCACTGAAAGGCACAAGACATTCAGTGTGGAGACTGTGTGTGAAGAGGACAGACAACCACTGTGAGATGTCTAAAAGGGCATTGGAAGAGGAGTCAGTGACTCTCCTGGAGTTCCTAATCCCATAGTTACACATTCCAATGGCAGCATCCACATGGTCTCTGCATAGATGGGTGAGATCAAGAGGTGCATCCACTCAAGGGTAACTCACAGTAAACTTAGTTTAGAGAAAGATGTCTTCACATGTACTTTTGAGAACACATTGAATCTTTTAAACATCTATTGTTAATAATACCTTTCAAGTGTCACCAGGAAGCTACCTGTGGGTCTAACTGGAAGGAAGTCAATTTGCCTATAGGAATGTCCAGCTCCCTACTCCACTCTTCTCTGTTCACCCATGGCCCAACTCAAAGCACAGCTCAGATGAACCCTGTACTTGCAGGCTGTTTGGATCCACCTGGTATCAGTTGGTCTAAAGGTCTATGGGTTGAGCTAAGGCAGTTTTCTGAGGGAACTGGTGAGTGCATCATCTCCTTGTCACTTTCTGTCACTTTCACATGTGTCATAGCATGAGTTTTGCTTGTGAAACCCTGTATATCATTGTCTCCATCTCAACTGTAGCACACAACAGCCAAACTGCTATTTCCAGTGTGCTAGTTCGATCTCCACCTCTCTCTTGTGATTAACTTGGTTTTGAAGATCTCACTTGCAGCCCAGATTGGCCTAGAACTGATTGTGGAGCCCAGGCCAGCCTTGAAATCATGTCAGTCCTCCTGTCTCAGCCTCTCAAGTGCTGAGATTATAGCTGTGAGACTTCATTGCTGACTATTCTCGTCTCATTCTTCCTGCCTCTGCCTCTTTAACATAAGAAGCTCAAGACAGTGGATCTCTGGGTATGTGGTATATGCTTGGAGAGCAATCCATGGTATGGCTCATCCAGTGAGCTGCTCAGAACCAGGTTCCCAGATTGCCAGAGCTGTGGCTGCCCTGGGGGTCACAAGCAGGAGGCAGCCATGCCTCTCCCAACCCTTTATACCTTTTATAGCCTCTTTCACTGAAGAATCCATAGGCAGAATGTTCTTCTCCACCAGTTCCAAGGGCCCAGGGCGGAGAGCAATCTTTTCATTGAGGTCATCAGCTAGGCGAGCTCTTTTCAGCTTCATCTGAGCAGTTGGGATGGATCTTTCTGCCGTGGAGGCTACGAGGTTGGAACAGACAGGATCCGTTTTAGAATTGGATGTCGTTTTGTTGGGTTCGCTTTTTTGGCTGCTGGTTACAAAACACTGTGTCACACCATGCTCTACCATCCCGATAATTTTTCAATGCAAGCATCATCACTTCACAGGGATTAGCACCAGAGAGCAGCCACTTCCAAATAAAGGCAAATGAAGAGGCCCAGGAAAACGGGAGAAACTCGCCTTGAGAGGATTTGTTTTAAAAAAAAATGCAATTTGGCAATTTTGTAAGCAAGCAGTCCATGTGGCTTGCTTGACCCTAGGTTCCCAGCTTTTGAGAATGACTGGCATAGGCTGGGCCTGCAGTAAACACCATCTCCTGGTGACAGTTAGTAGGGGGAGTGTAACCTTCCAGGGGTTTTAGATTTGTCAGTGTTGTGATACTGACCGAGAGTCAAATGTTCAGATACATTGCAAAAAGCAAAAAGAAAATCCTTTGAAGTTGATATTTTAATTAAACACAGGGATTAAAAAAACTGAATTTATCCAACAGTCAGTTTCTCATCATTTGGGGGGGGCGGTGGGAAAGGTCAAGCACAAAGTTGTAAACTCTCCTCTTTATGGCTGACCCCAAATGTCCTCTTTAGGATGACTTGTGAGTGATTTCCGTGAAAAAAAAAGATGAAGAAAAATTCAGCCAACCTGTCACTTTGGTGGAGAAATGTAAGGTAAAGGGCTTTCAGGGTCTAGCTCAACACGCTGAGATTATAGGATGAGGCATTTATAGAAAGCTCTCCCAACCTCTAATCCAGATGTGGGGTCTTGAGTCTGTCTGAGCATTTCTTATAGAGCAGAGAAAATCCCTAGTTAGTCTCTTCTCCCCAGGTCGTGCTTGTCCTGAAGCTTCATGGGTAACAGCGGGAGTGCTGGGGGCTGGTGAGATGATGCAACAGAGAGTGTTACTGCTCCCAACACCTATGTTAAATGGCTCATAACTGCTTAGAACCCCAGCTCCAGGGGATCTGACACCTTCTTCTGGTTTCGGACAGCACTCTAGCACAGCATTACTCCCTCTCCCCTTGCTAACACATGTATCTAAAAA